CCCTGGATACGTCCCTAAAGTAAGATGTACTCAGGCTGTAGAGCGCTCTTTTGTTAAAACCTAGGTCATTATGCAGTTTATTTTAACAATTTTCAGGCATATCCTCTTGACTCACGAAATGTGAGGGGGAATCCACTTCCCCAATTATTTGCTTCCACGGGTGCGTGAGAGTCCACATTACCTCAGCCCTAACGTGATTGGGACTGAGGTGCGAACTGAGGTGCGAACTGCGAAAATTTTGAGAATATTGACCTCTGGGTGCTTGGAAATTGCACTCTCATACCTTAAAAATCTTATAAATAATTCATATCAACAATATAGGGCCTAATACAATTATTTTTTAAAATATAATTTAGAGGGGTGCGACCGCACCCTCTGCACCCCCCCCCCCCCCCCCCCCCCCAGTTAAACTACCAAGGATAATCTGACTTGTTTTTCCACAATCATATTCAAATTTTTTAAACAGATTTTGGTAATATAAATTAAAATACAACAAAAGCCGTAAGATTACGAACAATAACTGTCAAAAGAAGACATCGGCTTATGATTTTCGGGCCAACGTACAAAACTTCCATCTTACATTAAGTACAGCTCTGGTTAGGTAGTATTATTGACTTTCACAAAAATTACACTTTTCGACTTTGGATTACAAAACTTATCGATGACTATTTATCTAATGACTAGACGTGCGCAATTAATCAACAAAATTATCATATATTGTCTAAAAATGTGTGTAGGTTTTGCATTTACGTCCGCAAGAATGTACGGGATATTAACAAAAATTAATAAATGATGCAAATAAATGGTTGTGTGACTAAGCTATGTCAGGAAGTACGAATTGAGTTGATTGGATAGGCCATTTGTCACAACGGATGCTCACGTTAGTTTCTTCCTACGCGCTTGGGTGGCATCCAATTGAAGCGGTGTCTTGTAAAACCGGCTCCTAAGAAACGGTTCCAAGCAAGCTACCATGGCTACTAACATGATGGTCGCTGTTCTCCTCCTATTTGCTCTGTTCAATCTGGGAACGTGCCATCAAAATACAACGACACCATATTGGAGGACATGGGAATGCTGTCCGAGAGTATGGGGACCTTTAGGTGGTGAGTAGTAGAGCTCGTCGGCTTTAAGCATAACTTTTACAAAGTCTGATGTTACGTGAATGCATTTCTGGCAATGTTAATTAGGATAAAATAATTATTCAGAAAAAAAGTTAAAAGCAAAAATAAATAAATAAATCACTAATTGTGAATTAGCTTTATCATTACTACAGTAGACTTGAAGTAATATAATAAGGTACTAAATAATATTATGAACGTAAAATATTTAAATTGAAATTCTAATATTATAGTTAACAATTATTTAGTTATATATCTACAAAAAATAAATTCAATTCATTTCGGCAAAGTTGAAAGTAACTTAATTAGATAAAATATAACAGGAATACAATTATAATTACTTCCAATACAATTGCAGATATTTTAAATTTGAAACAACGAAAATAAAGTCTTTATCGTATGAATAGGCTTACATTGTATGCATTCTGAAGTGGTATTATTGTTAAATATATCACATGTCCAAACTGTTAAACTGTCCAAACGCATAAAGAATAGTGTAAAGTAGACACAATTAAATGAGTTTTGTACCGGTAATACACAGTACTTATACGACACTGTCGTTTACGGCGAACTTCATGTTCAGAAATATCATTCCGAAATCTTTATCATTTAGGCCTATTTATTCAAATAATATTTTGTGAAAGTAATCATTCCAAAGGGCTATCAATCCAAACATACATCTACTAATTAATAACTTCACTAATAAAGATATTTATGAGATTTAAGTCAATAACTGCAGAATTATTAGACAAAGTCCGGTATGCATAGCCGGTAGCTTCAAATCCTACAAGTACCATTTAAGTTAGACAAACTGCATATTAATATATTAATTAATATTTGGCCTATTTAGTTTAACTACAGATTACCTTTAACCTTGTGAAGTATGCATACAACCTTAACTTTTCAAAAACGAAAATCCCAGCTGTCAATCAAAAATTGACGTCAATGCTAATACCAAGGAGAAAGTAAATCTGGAGTGCTAAATTTTTTGATTTAGTTCTGATTGCTCTTATTAAGCCACCTTGAAAGTGAAATTTATCTCTATCCCCTCTCGCTTCAATTTCCTTTTGTACATTACCTATGACTTATTTGTCAAGCTAGGCCCATGTCAACCACTTTTAAAATCCTGCTTTATGTTTTAACCAATGAAAAAATTACTTTTTCTTTTAAAGCAATGTTTCCACTACCACGTGACTGTGAAGACGTCCGGGACACTGGTGGTGGAGTAAATGGTGTTTACACGATCTATCCATGTTCTGTCAACGAGTGTAGGCCAACACGAGTGTATTGTGAGCAACAACAGGATGGAGGCGGATGGACCGTTAGTTCTGCAATTTGTTTAAAAGAAATACTGTATAAGACAAATGTAACGATTGTACAGTCTTTCCCTCAATGAAAAAGGCAATTAACACAAACATACATTTAATTTTCTCCATATTAATTTTTATATTTACAACATGTGTACTTGGCGCAATTGTTATTTTTTTCTTTAATCCTTTACTTAGGCCTATTAGTTAATAATTTGGTGAATGCAATGTCTGCCGAGTACCTCGTCCCTAACTATGTACCATGTCCATAAAAATGTACCAGGCAGTATGGTGGATATGTATCCTACTCCTGGAATCTAACCCCAAGACTCAACATTCCGTCTTGTGCAGGTAGCCCGTCCCATAGAATGTTCCTGGATAGAATTGATACAGTTTAACAATTCGATCAACATATTATGCCACAACTCTATTTTAAACAAGTTTTCTTTTGCCACAGGCATTTATTCAACATAATCTGGCGTTTCTATGATCGTATAGAAAGATAAATGCCATTTACCAATTACTGAGCGGAAAACAAAATCTTATTGTCATAAAAATTGACTTATATGACAGCTGAGCGCCCATTGCTCGTTACTACACTATGTTTGAAATAATTAACATAACATGACTTAGTATGACTGTTTCCTTCTCTTTTTGTCTTGGTAATACTAAAGGTATTCCAAAGGCGCATTGATGGCGGCATTAAGTTCTATCGTGACTGGGAGGAATATCGCGAAGGATTTGGAATTGCAGGTGGAGAGCATTGGCTAGGCCTTGAAAACCTCTACAATATAATGAAACAAGAAAGGTACACTCTGAGGATAGAACTGATGAATTGGGCCGGTACTCACGCCTATGCATTCTATGATGTCGTTTCAATGGGCCCGGAATCGACCAATTATACATTGACGGTCGGACGTTACCATGGTGATGCAGGTAAACATCGTTTTATACCTTTATAACATAAGTTAATATATAAATTTCTCCCCCCACCCACCACACTTCCCCAAGAAACATTTTAAGTGAAAAGGCAAGTTTGAAAATTATACACAGAGAATAAATTTTAAAATTCAATTCAGAAAATTGTTTTGATCTATGTCTCATTGAAAAATTAATTTTATTATGATAAATTAGAATGTTTATGCTTTCCAAATAATGTAAGACATTTAGTTCTAGCTCAGCATGAATCGCTAAATTATAAGTTCAATAATTTAACTAGTAAGTCTTTCTGAGATGAAATATCTATGGAATACAAGGAACAACATTGTGTAATAATCATTGAGCTAATAAGATGATGTCAAATGAATTTAATAAAACATGAACTCATTTCTTATGATTTACTTTTCGCAACAGGGGATGCATTTAGTACTCATAGTGGCATGCAATTTTCAACATATGACCATGACAATGACCGTTGGACAGGAAATTGTGCCCGGGACTACACAGGTGCATGGTGGTATACAAGTTGCCATAATAGCAACCTGAATGGTCAATACTTACGCGGGAGAACAACGCAGTACGCGAAAGGTATCGTATGGCAGCAGTTCATGGGATACAATTACTCATTGAAAGAAGCGTCCATGATGATCAAGAAGATTTAGTTAATCCATTTATCGGGTGATTAACAGATTACAAATTATAAAGAAAATAATGAAGGGGATAAAATGTAATTGTCATAGGTAAAAAAACTATCAATTTAAGTGTTCATTCTAATATAAAAGGAAAACAAAATCACCCTTAACAGTACATTAACGGACTAATTATATTTTTAATTGTTGAAGGAAAGTGCAATGCAATGCTTTTTTTCAGATTGAATTACTTGGATATTGGCCTAAATAAGTTAATTTAGCACTGGTGCTATGCTAATTAACTTAACTCGGTTAAAAACAAATTGTTACAAGCTAAAGTAATTTCATCAGTTTTTATCATCAGGTAGCCTTTAAAAAATGTTTTAAGCGCACTGAGAATTTGGAAATGTACTGCATCAAGTCCCCTACATTACAATTTATTGAATTAGATCCGATCCAAACTGAAGGGGGCGCCCTAGAGGTAGTAAAAAACATGTTACTGTATTTTAGGGCTCGTTTAAACTGTTATAAAATAAATAAAAGTGTTGATAATCTTTTCATCGTAGTCCAATGTCTTTGTGTTTCATTAAACAACAAACTGTCATTTAAACTGAATTGCAATCAGTTAGTCAATTCGTGGATTTTTCATAGAACATTTTAAGTACTGATTTCTTCCTTGAACTAAGTATTTGGTTAGTTAAATAAAACCGATAAAAAAAAATGGACAAGTATTATTTGGAATGTTAATTTGTTAGAATTTAAAAACAAAAACTAATAATTAACTTAATATTAATATAGCGCTCTTTTACTGGTGTGGAATGTGCTGCAGTCTTCGGAATATTTTAGGAAAATTACATAAATGAGGGAAGGGGATGACGGGTGTCTGTTACACACCCTGGATCTGACACCGGTATTTGCAAGTTAAACATGATTACCGTACTCGCACGAATAAGCGCCCCGTTTGAATAAGCGCCCCTCCTAACTTGAAAATTTTCTTAAGCGCCCCGTTTGATAATTTGAATAAACGCCCCCTCAATAATTCAATCAATCTTGGACTGTGGATGTTGGCATGATTTGAAGTGTGGAGTGGAATCACATTCTCCTTTAGTCAATATCAAAATGAGTATATTTATCTTGGACAGATGAGAGCTCCCTGGACAGACAGTATATTTCCAACTTTCATCTTTTCATTTTTCTATAGCTTAGTCCTACTGCTTTACCGACAATTTGCACCTCACACATTCTCATCTGAGGTTTCAAGAAAACCTGCAATGATCATGCCATCCTGCTAATCTCAATCGGCCGATGGCCAACAAGCTAACCACCACCTCTATTTTATCTGCCATTCTACTGTTATGTAATACTGTACTCACAACATTCTTGCCATGACAAGCCATGCCCTCTGGACCATTATCTTTTCCGTCGCACCACCATTCGTAATTGGTGGTGTCCTGATACGGTCCTTATATAATCGTTTTTCATTCAAAATGTGCCTCTTGAATAAGTTCTCATAAGAACCCCTCGATTTTCTTCTATTTCCATAAGCGCCCCCTCAATTTCCACTCTGTTTTGATAAGCGCCCCGTTCGAATAAGCGCCCCGTTTGAATAAGCGCCCCTCAAAAAGTGCAAACAAAATATTTTAAGCGCACGGGCGCTTATTCGCGCGAGTACGGTAATTAACATTCGGAAAGTCTTGACCATGAAGCAGAGATCTAACCATGGATGTAGATCTATCAATCAATGATGACTGCCCTCTGTTGACAATAAATCGTAAAAACGGTACACTGTACCCTTCTCAATGGTAAACCCTTGTAATAAACCAGGCTTGGCTTTGTATTCTATAAACGAATTCATGATTTGTGAACGATTGGCGTTTTATAAATAATTATTTATTAGTAAAACCGAGAATTAGAATTTGAGAATTAAAGCAATAAGAAATTCACTTCATACCACAGTTAGAAATGAATTCGGTCGATCTATTGCACTGTATACTGTAAACGATATCTAGTCTCTTAAAGGAATATTGAGGTATTTTTGTACAATTTAAGTTTCATATTATTTTGTAAAAGAGAACAATCACAAAAAAATATTAACAAGGAACTGTTTATTGTGTGAAATGGAAAATAGGAGAAATATAGATTGACATGAATGTGGGTGTGACTCCCAAAAAAGAGAGGAAAAAAACAGAACAATAAAAGTTTAAAATGAAAGATAAGCCCATTATTAAAAATCAAATAAAAAGAATTAATTAGAACTCTATCAGGCTTAACATTTGCTATCGAATCCCACAAACGATATAAAAAAAAAATCCCAGAGTTTATTAAAGTAAATTATCACAAATGATAAGGAATTATTTGCTAACTTTTTGACCACCCCATGCTGGTCATCAAGGCCACGGAATCCACTCAAGGTTCTACCTGTGTTTGGTTCTAATTAAAGTAAATTCGGTGTAAATTATATTTTTTCACGTCACTTTCGCTAAACCTGTTTTTTCTATTACAATTACAAAATGAAAACATCCTGAGCTCTCCCTTACCTGATTGGCAGTAATGTAGCGCGTACCCCATTTGTTGACGCACGTGCTGAACGTTAATGTGTAGTACGCGCAAAATAGATGAGGTCCCAAGACTGTTACTTTAATCATATAAGTACTAATTATCACCAGCACCACCATTGATCTCCGTGTATTTATATCGATTGATCGAATGGATACCTAATGCAAGAATGATCCAACAACGACTCATCCCTCTGACCACTACCTTGAGAAACCTTTGATAAATCATTAGCCTACTTAAATAACAAGTTTCAAAGCCTACTTTAAGACGTGGCCTAATTCCTCTAATATACTGGTCAAGCAACTTTGGCCCACACAGTCAGAGAGTATGATTTGGGTTTCGCCAATTTTATCATCTTTCAGACAAGGATACACCCTTTAAAATTATAATAGTTTACAATGCTACAGCATAATTTGATGAATGCTCAAATGCGTGGACTAACATGATCATTTGGTCCACATACTGGTTTTATAGTAACGTATACTACCCACCAGGTTAATGGACTCCTGAGACAGAGAAGCATTAAGTGCCTTGAAGGACACTGGTGACCCTGGGGCGGATGCTTGATTTAGTTTGGGTATGTGAGCGGTGCAAAAATGATGGGAGATCTCTGGTATAACTTTAGCTAAGAATCTGAGAAGCATCGGCATCCTTGGTATACGAAATGTGTATTTATACATTTCTGGGCTTTTAATTTTATTATAAAAAAAATGTATGCAGTGTCATTGCAACAAGGAGATTTTGAGTAATATTACGATATTTCTATTTTTTCATATTGACGTCAAGATCGTGTCAATACATCAACAATTTTGAAGATATACGGAACTGCTAAATAAACATAATATAAACGTTTAAAAATAATAATTAAAAATTGCTTAATTTTTATGAATGAAAAATCTGTAAGCCTACACTTTTAAATGAGTGCCAAGTACCAAAACTATTCAAATTGAAATCCATAATTACTTACATCACAACAGTAGGCAGAATAACACGATGTGGTAATAATAATTATAATGATATTAATACCGGTTCATTTACGTTAACTCTCTTTTTATTATTAACCCTTTTTATAATAAATGCAAATTAAAAGAGCCACACATGAGGATGATAATCTCCTCGCTTAATGTACAATTTAAAGTATCAAGACCTTAAGTGCTTCCGAATGGAATGTGTCTTCTGATATTATCGGTGAGGATGATGATTAGTTAAAAACTTTGGGTAGACGACGACAACGTGACTTCTTCATAATATTGCCTTATCGAGATAACAATCATTAGTTCGGAATACTATCTGCATATTACAGCAAATGTAGGCATGGATAGATATAGTACTGTAGTACTCATCAAAAATATAATTTGATGGTGAAAGCCATAGTGTAAAAGGACTCAACCAATCACTTCCCTTCATATTCATACCCCAACCCATTTCACAATCACATCCCTTTTAACGAATCATCCCACCAAACACTCACCTCTCCACAATCACACCTCCCCGACCCCCTTTCTATCACTCCAACCTTTCATCCACCAAATACCTCCATTAACGCTCACCTCCCGCCAGCCTCACACAACCCCCCCACCCACCGAATAATCACTCTACATTCAGAGACGTTAATGAGTTGTCATTTCAGATCTCAGTGGGTCAATTCACACAAACATAATCATACACTTGAAAAAAATGTTTGTGTGACATTTTGTTATTTTTTCCATGTTTTATATTTTATTTTTCCTGAGTTGGCAATCCATTGGAAATGTTATTTTCTTCGAATTGGTAAAGCATTATTTTTGTCATATTTCCTCCTCAAAAATCGATTAAATTGCTCGTCTAATCCACAACGTGTGAGCTTTCACCAGGACTTTACCCCTGGACCACACCGAGTCCCCTAGTTGTCCCCCAGCCCTAGTGGGTCAATTAAAGCTATTTTCCCCTCCTACAAAAACATGGAATCTCCGCTACTGTCTACATTAACACCCAAACCATCTCCAATCCAAACTTCTACTTTTAGCACAATATACAATGTCTCAATGCAGCAATTTGAGGACGCTTCAAATCATCCACGTGTCAAATATTTTGCCTTTTAAAACATGAAATGGCCCTTCTCTAAATATCACACTAGCCCCACTTTTCATCAACTGAAAACTCAGAGTAAAATTACAATAAAGCATTGTTATACTGTACATACACTATGTGGTATAAGTCTATGCATTAAAGTTGAATTCATTGTGTTGGTCAACGCTATTATATGACTGAAACGTCACAAGGTGTGCACGATGCATCTTCTGCAATGACAATTCCATTTATGTGCAACCAGCAACAGCATTGCATTGTCAAATGCTCACACAAGTAGTAGATGGATCAAACAACAGTTGGTCAGATTCGGAGTACAGGGTACTTTACCTGTACGTAAATCATAGAAAACAATAGGAAGTCCATGACATCCATGTACATGCATTAAGCGTATAGCCACAACAAACATTACGCACATTTTTTCTATATAAATGTCACTTTTATTTTTATCTGAGATTACCCATCTCATATTTCAAATGTTAATCCCATTCTGTTTTCCCTGCTTTGTTATCACATTCTCTTTTGAATGTCTGCTTTTTAGTTTCATTTCAAGATGTTGGCATACACATAAACCAATGCATAAACTGAAGAAAAAAATTTAACATAATAAATAATTTCAGACCCGTTACTTGATCATCACGCACTGACTACAAGTGGAATCAAGGACACTTGATGAATTTTTTCATTCCTTTGGATTCAGTATTGTGACCCATTTTGCGCTCCATACATCTCTACTTATTCAAAAGCTATCACATACGGCATCCATCATGAAATCCAGTAGCACTTCATACTATCATTGAATTAGTGGCAATGAGTTGAACTCATGAATATTTATAAATTTATTATGAATATTCATACCCCTAGACTCAGATAAACCGTAAGGGCAAAGAGCACATGATCAATTCTGACCAATGGCATTAATAAATAATTTAACTTCTTTAAGGCTTCCTCCATCTCTTTTATATGTCCTCCATATCATTTTTGTTGTTTGTATAAACATTAAAGTAGTTTAATCTTTAGTCTTTGTCTTCACAAGAAGCTTATGTTTACACTATGAAATGTTGAAATTCAATCAAACCATCAAATTTGATTATGATGATTTGCATAAATTAATTAGTGTTGTCATCAATTACTTTGACTACAACTACTTGAGCCATCAAAAAATTTGCTATATTTTATACAATGGGGGGAAAATACGCTGTGATTCAACAAAGATGTTCATTCAGAAATTGGTTTATGACCAAGTTTGATTATGACTTTTTGAATTTAAAAAAAAGTAATAATCAAATTTTGACTGCACCTGAAGAATTAGCAAATAATTCGAAGATGAATTACAACATGTTTGTTACTGTAAATTTGCTCAATTTTGTTTAATACAGTATAAAATACAATTGGGTAAACAAAAAAAAGTTTGTTTATAAATAATAAAAGTTCCTTTCAAGCTATTATACTAGCCTTATTGATTGAAAACAAGAGTTTAATAAGTAGACAGGACATAGTCAAGGTTTGATGGTTTGGAATAAGAACCCATACAACCTCTGCCAGATTAATGACAATACATTTACTGTGAATTCTTGTTAATCGCTGGCACTTTCACAGGTCCTCCTTCGGCAATGGTTTTCATGAGCTGACGTCAGCAAGCCTGTTCAGACCATTGGAGCTTCTGGGTTAGGCTCGCATATTTGGGGGTAAAATTAGACATGTTTCAGGTGACACATCAAGAGGCCAGGCCTAGTGCATATCACACCAGTTAACACTTAATCTCTTTTCAGTCAATGTATAAATCAGCATGAAATAGGTCTACTTTTAGCACCATGCAATTGCTTCCCTTTGGCAAAAGGCTCACAGATAACCAATTCACTCCAGGTTCGACATGCTTCATGTCTGTGTCCATGGAAGATGCCTGTCTGATAATTGTCTAAGTCACCTGAGTTGGCTCATGGGTTTAAGTACCACTTTTGGTCTGCTGATCTCGCATGTGCTTTTCAATCTGTAATGGATAAGGAAACAACAATCAAGTGAATACTATTAAAGAAAAGCACTTAAGTACTGTATACCTCTCATTAACTATAAGTTGATTTGTACCAGTATGACAAAAACATTAAAGACATTTTACAACCTTACAAAAACGACAACAAATACGAAAACGACTTAAACCATATGATATGAACTTTTTTTCTTTTTATTTTAACAGTAATATTTAAAGTTTAAGCATTATTTCCATGGTGTCCTCATTTTTTATATTTTATATTGGGCTCTATCATAGTTTTTGTCAAGATGTTCTCATCTTTGTGCTGGGCCCTCGGCCCATGTTTTCCTCTTGGACAGTGGTCTGCGAATTTGTAATAAATAAATAAATAAACGATAATGAATATTAATACGTCATCTTCATTATCATCATTTGCATCTAAAAAATTCTCGACGATACATATACGAGCTAAGCATGTTCTTGGATTCATGTAAAATGCATGAATGGCCTACGTTGTGACAGATATGCTACTGTTAGGGATGAACTGACTAAATCCCCGGTATTCAACCCCCCAACCTGTGGGTCAACTCCAGCCCGCCAATGTAGGACCTTTTTGGGGTATCAGACTCCTCGTAGGGGAATTTTTTACACTGGCACTGAAAAAAATTGGAAGTATACAATTTATATCGGCCCACCGCTGGTCTCAAAAGATTAAACCTGGCCACCAGCTTAAAAAAGTCTAATACCCAGGACTAAATATTTGATGACCTGACAATATTCGCTGTTGTTTTCGTAAGCTTGTGAAACCTCCCTATTGTGGGGGCAGCTGGCACAGCAGTTTTGTGGTTTGGGCTCTCAACACTGAGGGCGCAACTTTCAACTCTCAACATTAATATAGCTTGTGCTTTGTTCTCTTTGGCAACTCACTTTACACAAAGGTGTCGCTCTCCACCCAGGATTGGTACCTGGTGAGCTCAAATTCCAGTAAGCCCTGGAAGCTCCAACAATTTAAGACTTGTGTATCAAAATAATTACTGTTATTATGAATTTAAATTGCTGGCATCACAGTAGGCACTTAGCTGGCAGGTGGGAAAATATTTTTGGCAGAAAATATATATACTCACTATTTTTTTAACATGTGCTAATTCTTTGCCATCTTTTCCATCATTACTGCTGCAGCTCTCTAATGTGTATGGTGGTGATACAATGACAGAATCCAATACAATCATATCCCTGTTCTGCCATCTACAATGTAACCTGATAAAAAAACAGACACAGTTTACTACATGCATTCTGTACAGATTGCTAGTGTAATGTTCACATAGGAGTATGATATATTGGACAACACCTTTAATTACAATGAATGAGTGGAAACAATAACAAAAATCACCACACAGAATACATTATCTGAACTACAGAAGGAATTACTGACAGTGATAAATATTATTACTGCCACAAAAAAACAACAATAGCAATAGCCAATACAAATAAGGCAGCATTTGAAGGTTTCATGAGCACTGGTTGTGTCCTGGTATACAAACCTCTCTGAAAACAAGGGTAGGAATTTAGTTGCCATTTACAGGCATAAAAAATTAGCAAGTGGAAGCTTATTCCAGAAAACAACCACCAGCTGTTCCCCAATTTTCAAGAGATTATTGTTATTCATTCTTCAGGTTTTGACCTTTACCTTATGTAAAAATCTAAGGGAAAGAATGTTAACCCCTTTCCACCCAGTTAAATACATGAATAAAAAAAAAACATTTCTCCTTACGTTTTTTTAATAGTGTGATAAAGCTTTATTGCATCTGAAGGAACACCTAACTCTTGGCATCGAATTGCTTCATGCTTGTCATATATACTTTCTTCTGCCCTTTTCAAAAGCTGCAATTTGTAACATACATACAATAGTATAAAAATGGTAAAACAGTTTAATTTTCAAACAAATTAACAACATATGAATGACAGAGTGATATGATACTGTAAAAACAGGCCTGAAAAACTCTTGGACTAAATGAAATTGAGTTTTAAGTTCAGTTAGAATCAGTTGTGGCGCCAGCTGGGGGAGGGAGGGGAGGGATTAAGGACCCTATCGGACAGGCCCTCTCCC